GGTTCGGGTGGCCGACGTGGCGACTGCGCGCGGTCGAGTTGGTATGTTATCCCTGGCTCTGCGGGCCAAGAAGACGACAAGCGCCGGGCGGTGCGGAACGTCGTCTCCAATAAGTGAGCTGGCGGCGCCCTGGGCCACGTCGACCTTCCCTGGTGGCGGGTGGCTAGGCTGCCTTGGCGTGAACTGCGCTCGTTCTTCGGCCGCCTCGTCCTGCCCTGGTGGTGGGTGGTTGGGCCGAATCGGTGTAAGCGTCACTCAGTAAACAGGTGCTGTGGCCTTTCTGTGCTCGACCCGCTGGACACTCTGGGGCCATGACACTGGCACAGCGAAGGTGAGCCACTTGGGCAATCTCGTCTGTAGTTGACCCCGGTGCCCCTGGCTTGTGGGTGGCTGCCAACTTCGGCGACGCGGCCGTGTATTAATAAGGTCGCCCGCGACCGTTGCTGCATCCCGACAAAACGTCGACGACGAGGGACTGGGGATGCAACGTCTTATCTGTCCAGGAAAGCGTGACGTCCTTTCATCTGGTAGCGTATCCGTGGTTTCTCTTGGCGAGGAATTCCATGCCGTACTTTGCCTGGACAATCTTGCGTTGGGCTTTGGTCATACCCGCGACTACGAACCTCTGGGGATGTTTGACTCTCCCTTCTGACCAGGCTCCCATTCAAAACGAAGCCATGTTCGGGATGGGAGATTGTCACACCACCTGCTGTGAAGAGAGTCCCCTCTGGGTCGTAGGGCGGTTAGCCACGAAGAGTCACAGGCTTGGCGTGGTTGGTGTTCTGATATCCCTGGCCTGGTGGCGCTGACGCCTGACCGGTGGCTGGCGACTCCGCTCTCAGCTTGAGTTCTTCCTGTGCCGTGTGGGGCAGGTTGTCAGAAGTATCGGTCCTAAGCTCACAGTGCTGTTGTAAGCGTTCACCAGGGCACGGTGGTGGTAGCAGGTGGTGTTCCAGGGGTCGCTCGGATCTTGGTCGACCAGAAATGCCTGAATGCTTCGGCAGTTGAATCCGCACGCACTGGGGCCACTTACTCGTGCGAAGGAACATTACCTGTTGCCTGCAGGGTGACTTCCGTGCTGCAGTGTCGCCGACGCCATGCGATGCTGCTTCCTATCACCACACTTGTCGCATTACGGAGTCTGCTGGCTCATCCCCTGTTGACGGAGGGGTTGCAGAACACCGAATGGGCACGCGTTGTTACTGAGTCCCGAGTGGGCACGCGTTGACAGCGCTCTCGGCGCTTGAGAAAGAGGAGAAGGACTGGCGAGAAAAAGGACAAGGAATGGAAAGAGGGAGGGAGAGGAAAGAATGGACGAGGCGTGAATGAGAGAGAAAGAGGGGGAGAGGGAGGAGAGAGCGGCGAGATAGAAAGGAGAAGAAGGAATGGAAGAGGGTGACCACCTAGAACCGTCTCGAAGACCCAACACTTGCCCTGCTAAAGCACCCCCAAACCTCCCACATCAATCCCCCCCCTCCTCCTCCATCCCTCGCCCCTCCTCTTCCTCACCCGTATTCCTCCCTCCTCTCCCTTCACGCCTCCTCCCTGTTGTTCCCCCTCCCCCCCTCCCTCCTCCCTTCCTCCATCCTCCTCCTCCTCATCCTCCCCCTTCCGATCCTCATCCCTGCTCCTCCTCCATGCTCTCCCTCCTCCTCCTCCTCCTCCTCCTCCTCCTCCTCCTGCTCCTCCTGCTCCTCCTCCTCCTCGAGGCGCAACTTCTCCCCCCGAGGCTCCTGCAGGTCCGACAACGGCCAGCTGGAGGGCGGGCCGGACCGCGGCAGGCCGACGGCGCGCCGCTCGTGCGTCCACCTTCACGCTCTGCACGGGTGGGGGGGGGGGCCTCCTCCTGGCCCTCCCCCTCCTCGAAGAGGAGGAGAGGGAGAAGAGAACCCGACAAGGGAGAAGGGCGAGGCCATGGAAAGGAGAAGCGAAGGGGGGGGGAGGGAGGTATGAGGAGAGGGGGAGGTGGCGTATCACTACTATCTCGTCGCCGAAGAAACTCATTCCCAAACACGCACACACACACACACACACACCAGATATCGCGGACAACCCATCCAAGGTGAAGACGCTAAGCGCTGCGGTCCCAGTATGTAAGAGTGGCCAGCGCTGAGGCGAGAGCATCATTCCTGATCAGGAATGCGGCCAACGCTCGAGCAGCAGCATCATGCCGAGACCGGAACGCGGCGGGCGCGCACTGAGGCGAGAGCTCCATTCCAATTCAGGGATGAGGGATGTGGCCCGCGCTCAGGCGACAGCACGGTTTCGAATCAGGGATGTGACGAGCGCGCAAACCACAGTCCCAAACAATGCGGCTGGCGCTCTGACGAGAGGCAGCCAGCGCTCATTCGACAGCAGAATTACTACATGGGAACGCGGCTGGAATGAAAGTAAAGGCCGTCCCCCCGCTCCTGCCAGCACTACCTGACCCCACCCCATCATCATCATCATCCTCCTCCCGTTATGTTCCTCTCTGTAAGTCAACAGGAGGCATTTGTGCCGACACTCTGGGCACGGATCGGGTGGTCACGCATGCACCACAAACCCCCGCAGTGCTGCAGGTCCGACCGCGGGCCATTGCCCGGTGCGTGCCCTGTGCTGGGCCTCCCAAGTACGAGACAATTGTGCAGGCGCCCCTGGGAACATGCGCGTGCGAGGAGAAGGCTCAGATGAAACAGCTTCCAAACGGCGCCGCACATCGCCCATGGGCAGTAGAAGTGACATCGCCAGATGGCGGTTGGGAAAAGAGAGGCAACGCCCGGGCGGCAGCGGAGGCAGGAAGGAGAGGAACAGGGAAACAGGAGGAAAGAGGGTTGGGGGTGGACGTCGCCAGCTGTCGGCACGGACGCAAGGCATCACCAAGGCCTGGAAGGGAAAAGGAAGCGGGTATGAGCAAGGAGGCACGGAGGAGCGGGACAGGAGGCGTCCTCGCCCAATGGCGTTTGAGGGTGGAGGGTGGAGGGGCGGAACGTCGGCAGTTGGCGGTTGGGGCGCGGATTATCGCCGAAGGCCGCCTAGACGACGACCATGGGCCTCCGCCTAGACAAAAGTTAGGGCCTGGTCATCCCCCCCCGCTCCCAAGACTACCTGGCTCCCCCTCCTCCCCCTCCTCCTTCTCCTCCTTCTCCTCCTCCTCCTCCTCCTCCTCCTCCGCCTCCTCCCCCCCTTCCTCCCCCCTACCCCTGGCCGGCCTGCAGATGGGGCTTGCCAACCTGGGCTGGGACCCGCGGCACCCAGGTAGATGGCTGGAACCCTGCCGAGAACCGCCCCAGACCACTCCTCCATCCACGAGGCGCTCAGGGAGTCGGTCGACCAGCAGCTGTGGCAGTGGCGACAGGCTGGTGCGCGACCTGACAGAGAAAGCCTCGGTGCAGGGGCCACCTTCGCCTGCCTCCACCGCTCGGCCCACCACATGCGCAAGTGCGGACATCACCCGGAGGCCGGCGTGCTCGAGGCCGTGGAAGCAGCCGCAATCTGGACTGATGAGCTGCCGGTTATGACACCGACGGCCGCTGCCAACGGTGTGGCCTGGCTGTGGAGTCGATGCGGCATCGATGGTACGACTTCCAAGCCAACGGCGCCACAGACCACCCCTAGGTAACCAAAACCCAAGACATCTGCCAGCGAGACTGCGCCGACCTTGGAGACGGCGGTAACCAGGCATTCTGGTTTCGCGGGGCTCTCCCGGGAGGCTGCTGCGACGTGCCGCCGCCGCCGCCGCCGCCATGGGACACCGTTCCCTGGCAATGCTGGGCCGTTGACTGCCTCGACGCCGTCGCGTTGACCCACGACGGTTGGCTGCGAGAGCAGTGCGCCTCCTTGAGCGAAGCCTAGCTGGAAGGATCGGTCATCGCCACTGATAGCGGGGTGGCCCGCACTGGATGGGCCGCATCCTTCGGGCCCTCCGCCGACGGAGAGGGCCGGGATTCTTCGATTGCCTGGACGGGCATCAGACAGCCCCGGCTGCCAAGCTCCCAACTCTGCTCTGGACGCTCAGGCTCACCAGAGGGGCCATCGTGATGTGGACCAACTGCCAGCTTGTCCACGATGGATGGCATACGGGACGCATCACAAGCCCGCGTGGTCCGCTGGCCCGTTGGTGGCGCAGGACCGCCGCAATTCTCCGAGAGCGATCTGGAAGAGCCGCAGGAGTGGTATTGCGCAAGTGCTATTCCCACCTCGACGCCGCAAGTTTCGCGAAGGCGGGCAGGCCGAGGCCGTCACCCTCGGCAACAAGCTTGCCTGTGCCCTGGCACAGCGCGGGGCAGAACTCGCGGCCGATGAGCTCGCCCCCCCTTGTAGGATTCACCGCCAGTTTTTCCTCTGAGAATCGTGGTAAGATGCTAAAGGAACTTCGGTCGCATGATCTCCAACACTGATATCGTGGGCTACATGCTCAGCGAGACAGGGGTTGGGATAAGCCACGGCTAAGGCAATGGGTAATCCGTATAGCAAATGGTAAGAAGCACGGGAAAGGAGGAGGCCGGCCAGTCGACGCCCTCGGCGCGGGCGCGCGGCGGCGCGCTCCTTTCCTGGTTTGATACCAAACAGCTGTTAATGCATCAATGTCTGGCAAGGCAGGCGGCAGCAGAGGTACAAAAGGATGAGGCGGAGAGGGGCATATTTACCCCCCCGCGGCGGGGTCCGCAAGAACCCGTCAGCCTACATCCGCCAGCCTCTGTACATATGCACAACCTGGAGGAGCACAAAACACTCCAGGCCGGCTGGGGACGATGGGCCGAAGGACGCCGACGTACCCCACCTCCGCAGTGAACCGGGCCTCTCACGTCGTAACGACTGGGTCGTACGACTCGCCTCCTTGTTCACTTCTTGTGCCAGTATTTCTTCTGGTCATAGTGCCGCGAGCCTCTGTCAGAACGCGCTGGCGGCGCAGGGGGCCTCGGCGTCCATGATGAAGAGGCACCGCCCTTTGGCCAAGCACCCGTGTGAGACGCCGAAGGCTTGGCACCTTAGCCGGAGACAGAATATATGGGGCTGGCCTCACATGCTTGGTCGTGCCCTTGTCCTTGCTGTATCCCTTGCCTTGGTCTCTCGGGAACCAGTAGTTATAGTCATAGTTGGACAAGTACTGCCATTCACGTTCTTTGTTGAAGTGCCAAGAAACTTGGTCACGATGCACCCAGAAACCTAACACCTCGCCGCGCTCGGTGGCCTTCGGGTAGTGCCGCACGGGGTTCCAGTCTTGTTGCTCACCGTCGTCGTAGCGCACATCCATGGCACCGCCGCGCGCGCGGCCATTGGCTGATCCCACGCGTTGCCGCCTGGGGAACGCCTCGAGGCTTCGTCACCCGCCGCAACGGTTTGACCGCCGGCGGAGTAGGGGGACTCAGTGGCATCATCACCGATCCGAACGTCTGGGACGTTGGACGGTCTAGGCGGCGCAGGCGGAGCCGGGAGGCCAGCAGAGCCTGACCCTGCTGGCGACGCGGAAGCCACCTCCTGATCGGCTGGGCCGTCGGAGGGTTCATCAGCGGCTTTCTCCTCGTGAAAGCGGGTCCCATGCTGTAGCTTCGCGCGCCGAACGGTACCCATCGCGGCAGTCGTCACGTAATGACCGAAGCGCCCGGTAGCAATGCGAACGGGGCCCGGGCCGCAGTCTTGTTCGGGAGTGGACTCCAAGAATGGGTGCAGAAAAGCGACGGCGGCTTGCAATGCTCCGCCGTGGCGACGGAGCTCGGCACGACGCTCAGTGCAAATGTCGCGGGACCACGCTTCGACGAGGTCATCGGAAGTGACAGCCGAACGGATTCGGCTGTCCAGCGCATATGCATCGAGGCGGCGCTGTTCGACGTTGACTACGTCGGCAGGCTCGCGAATGAATATAGCAAGCGTGGGAAAGGATATGCGATATCCGTCATCGAGGAAACAATTGATGATCTCGCGAACAATCACAAAGACACGCATGACTCGAAGGTCGAGGTTGAGCTGTGCGATGGGGGCCCTCCAGTTTTGCTCGAGGGTCTCTTGCACCGCTGCTGGAACCACATGTTCTTGCTCTCCCTCCAGGCGCGACAGGCGATGCCTGTCGGCCGTTCCCGTTCTAGGGTTATGGCACATGTGCTCCATGACGTACTGGAATGCGACGCTGATGGCTTCCTGCTGCGACGTTTCTACGCGCAGGGTGCCGTCCTCGCGCCGAGGGGTCATCTGTCGTTCGGATGGGTCGAGAGTGACTTCCCCGTTCAGCCACCGCTGGGTGAGGCGCCCGCGGACGGCATTGAAGTCAAGGGGAATTGGAGCAGATCTCGCGTCGTCTGTCGACTCGGCTTGGCCGGCGACAGGAGTAGCAGCGCGGAGTGGGTGCGTGGCGTAGACCTTGCTGCGCCGGGACACTGATTTTGCCAAGCGAGAAGGGCGAGCAGTGAGCTGCTGCGCCCAAACTACAGGCGGGCGTCCACGATGGCTGGGCCATGTGGCGTCTTCTCCAGCACCCTGAGCGGCAGGCATCCATGGCGCAGTCCCAGAACGTGCATTGTACACGTTCTGGGGAGTCGGTACGAAGGTGCCTGCTCTTTGCTGTGCTGTTTCCCAGCGTTCCCTTCCTCCAGTAGGGCTTGTGCTTGCCTCGTCTTCATCTGGCCAGTCGAACGCAGCCAAAGGAGGGCATGAAAATGGGCGCGCGAACTGGTCGATGTCTGTGGCCCATATGAAGGGGCCACCACTCTGCGAGCTTCGGCCCCAGGAACTCCAGCCACTTGATGAACCTTCTCTTGAGAGGTTCGATGTACTGGAAGAAACGGCCCATGGCGCGCCAGCGGCTGGGCCGCGACACTGTCTGGGACCCAGGCCACCCAGGCGGGAACACTAGCGGGGCGGCTGTTGCCAAAGGTTTGGCCGGCCGCAGCCATAGCGATGTGTCCACCGCTCACCCATTTACGCTCCATTTTCAAATTGGCATTAATGTTTGCCATGACGTCAGCCGACGCCTTGCCGCGTCGCTTTCGTCTCTCAAGAATGCACTGGCCTTGGCGCCAGGGCTAGTCATCATGAGCACGAACGGTCAGCTCGATGCCGTTCCTCCACAGTGTATTTTCGATGGCATGCGACTGGAGGGACTGGAGCATATAATTGTGCGCAACCATGTACTTGTAATTCACGGCGTTGTTGCAAAAAGGGCAACGGACGAAGCCGGCGCGGACCCAGTGCAGATTAGGGCAGAGAAACCGACCGCTATCCAACCAGGGGACGGACTGAAGGAACTCAGCAGCCCCTGCCAGGCCATTCGCGAAAGTCTGGCCGAGGCGCAACCGTCTCGTCGGTGCGAAGCCAAGCTAGCATGGAATGGGGGCTGAACTCCACCCCGTACGAGGTCCACTCTTGGCTAAATATGAGGACCCGAGAGGTCAAGTGTTCGTTTGTCCAATAAAGCACCCTCGCAAGCTGAACAACTTTGTCGATATCGGTGAACCGAAGAACCTGGCGTGACACCAATGCGCCGTCACGGCAAACCCGGTACGAGGAACGGGTGAGAACCCGGCCATTGAAAACTAACGCGAAAGCCAATTCTCTCGGTGGGTCGGGGGCTGGTTCCACAAACGGACTGTGTCCGCTGCGGGCTAAGACCCAATCGCAGCAAGCTTATTCGCCTCAGGGGCTTGATCCATTTGGCGAAACTCCTTGGGAGGAGCGCATTCACCGTCCCTACGCTGGCTTAGCCAGGAGAAGAAAGGTTCCCGAAGCTGCATGATCGGGTTCCGCTTGGTCGGGAGAAGGCGCGGCAGGCCATAGTCCGACTCGAAAGAGAGCCCCGACCTGCTTCTGGGGCATTGTATTTCCTCGAGCATCGACGCCTTCAACGAGTCCATGTCCGCGACGTGGAGAAGGGGGCCATGGCACCTGGCTAGGCCAGGGCCATAGGGCGCAAACATTCTCTCAATGGAAGCGACGAACGTGGAATGGCCCTGGCACGCTCTGTAGAAAACGGGAATGGGGCGCTCGGACCGCCCACCCGTGGGCCAGGCCTTAAACTCCTTCCAGTGTCGCGAGAGCGTCGTATCGCCAAGGCAAGCAATGGCGTCGGCATGGAGGCCCAAGACTTCGACGGCCCCTGGCTGCACAGCGGCTAGGCCGTGCACAGCTAGGGCCACACTTTGGAATGTGTACCCGTCTTCTTGCATGTTGTCAATTAGGTCTCCGAAATAGACCCAACCTCCCGAGGACTTCGCATAATCGGGACAATGCCTCGCGAGATATGCAGCAAGCCTCCCGATGCGCCCCGCTGTCTCGTCCGTCCGATAGCTGTGGTGCCGCCAGAACCCCGCACCGCCTAGGGCGGCCGGGTTGCCGGCGTCAGAGACACCTACGGCTAGCGGAGCTAGGGCCTTGTAGGCCCGAGACTCAAGTCCTGCGGGGGTGTCGTCAGAGTGAAATTCGGCGCGAAGGTACTCGCTCGTCTGTTCAAACTGAGTGGGCTCGAGGTCGTCGTCACCAAGCAATGCAAAGACGGGATCCTCGACGAGCTCTGCTACGTGTTTCAGCGTGTCAAAAGCACGCCCGCGAAGGGCCTCGATGTTGGGAGGCACAGGGCCAGTGGCAAGGGCCTCCCGAATGCGCCGCTTCAACTGAGCCGGCGTGTTCTCAATAATCTGGGCCCTTTCGTTCGGTGAAAGGTAGAGGCTCTGACCCTTGAAGGCGTCGGCGTGGCCGACGGCGACCTCGTCTCCGCCTTGGCGGGGCGGGCCATCTATCGGGCGAGGCTGCCGCACATCCGGAGAGGGCGGCAGGGCCTCACGGCAAAAGATGTTTGTCGCCGCAGGGCCGAGCCGACAGTCGTCATCATGTGAATACACTGTCTCAGGGTCGTCCTGATAGGGAATCGCGATGTCGGCGATGGATGGGCTGTTCTCAGGAGGCTCCGGCATGTCTGGGCCACCCGGAACTTCAGCGGCTGGAGCGAGCTCCGCGGCGTCTTGGCCACCTGGAGCGGCGGCTGCTGGGGCCTCATTCTCAGCGGCCTCGGCCTCGGCAGCGGGAGAGCCTTCGGGCTCCTTGGTAGGGGGCGCGGCCTCATACCTCGCATCGAGCTCAGCCTTTGCCTTGGCGAAGGCCTCTGTGTCAACCTCCATTGGTTCGCCTTTTGCCACTGCGTCGCCCGCGCTGGCTGGGCCAGCCGGGCCTTCAGGCGGGGCAGGATCGCGCACCGCCTCCTCCGCCTTGGCTGGGCCGGGCGGAGCAGCAGCAGCAGGCTGTGTTTCAGGTACCACATCATCCGTATCGGCTGGGCCCTGCGGGGCAGCTGGCGGGGGAGCGGTTTCTGCAAGCGTCGGAGCTGCTTGTGCGGCCTGGGCTGCTTCCTGAGCTTCTGTACTCTTAACCTCATCAAAATCAGGAAGTCCCTCGGCCAAGATGGCTGCTGCGTCTTCTGCTGAGCGGGCAGGTGCTGCGGGCGGCATAGCTGCCTCAGCAACTGGCGCAACAGGCAAGTCCCGCACTTCCTCTGCCACGGCTGGGCTGGGCAGAGGCGCTGGCACTTCCTCTGCCACGGCTGTGCCGGGCAGAGGTGTACTGTTGGTGGCATAGGTACCGTGGGCCCATCCGTGGGCGCGTCGCCCCATCTACGAGGCCGTGAGCGCTCGCGCGGGGCTGACACTTCGGGAGTGGGGCTGAAATCAAATACCTCCTCACCGATAGCATCTGCGACCGCGGCTGCATATTTCTTCCACGGAGCAGAGTAGCCGCCTGGTTCATGCTGGTTCCTTTTCTTGACACGCATGTACTTAGATTGTGCGGCAGAGACGATGTCAACCTCCATGTCTTCTAAATCGTCTTGGTCCACCGCGGCGGGCTGTCCCCCGGAGGTGGCGCGCCTCCACTCGCTGAACCAGTCTCGTTCTCGCTTGAGGGCCTTGCGGGAGCGATCGCCCCCCTCGCCAAAGTGGGCATGCGAAACCTGACGAATGGATTTGATAATGCGAGCTGCGGGGTCGCCCCCCTCCGGTGCCGGCGACTCCTCTGACGAAGGACCCTCGGCCGAGTGGGGCGGGGGAGGAGCCACTGGATCGGCCAAACCCGCGGTGCCTCCGGGGCGGTTAGAGCCCTCATCCTCGGCGACCTCAGCCTTCACCTCAGCGACCTCAGCCTTCGCCGATGGACCTGCCCCAGCACCGCCTTGGGCGGGCGGTGGCGTCAGAGGTGCAGGCTTGGGCGGTGGCT